CTCGTCTTTAAAAAAAAAAAAAAAAAAAAGATTAAATAAGTAAAATATATACACAAATTGATTGAACTTATTGTAATTTTAAAATATAATAAAATTAAAAAGTTTGGATTTTATTTAATTTTATATTTTGTAATAAGATTTATAAAAAGTATTTTTGGGTATTTTCTTTTAGATTTTTCTAGAAGTTATTCAAGTATCTTAGCTGTAATTCATGAGTTAATATTTTATGATGTCATGTTTTATATATATATATATATATATATATAGGAAAGTTTTTTGATTGAAAATTCTATTTTGAGAGCAACAGGTAATGAAAATGAAAAAAAAAAAATAACGTCAAGAAAATCTTACCTTTTAGAGTTTGTGCCCTCATCTCTGAATCCCTTGGCAAAGGGGTTGTGGTCGATTTTCAGCTTTGTAATCTGAGTGAAATAATGTAACCAGTCTCAGTTCTAATTAATGCTAATAAAAAATACCACCATCTGATTAAACTTAAAATATGTGCATAAGAACACATTATAAGAATCGACAACCTTATACTATAAGGGATTTTCTGAACAGCGGTCAATCAATATCTTTTTTTTCTTCGGCTGATTGTTACATTTTTATATTTAGCCCCGAAATCAAGAAAATGTAAGTGATGTATTAATCGCTTACCTTTGTGTTCTGGTATGCAGTAACAGCAGTGAAGGAGGTCTCGGGGAAGGTAAAGGTTTGGAAGACACTCCAGCGCACACTGTACAGATCATCAGCCTGAACTATATGGAAACGTGGATGGTAGCGGTGCATGGAGTGAAGGATAATCTGAACCGAAAAGAGACACATACATTAAAATCACAGTCAAATTACTGTTAAACAAATGTAAGAATCAGAATGGGGCGCTTACATGTCCATGCTGGTCCAGGGCATTGTTGGTAAGCTTGAGTTTGAGGAAACACACGGGCTGTTTCATCCAGTGACTGCCGGGCGCTGGAGAATCAGGGTGTAGGTACGTCCTGTAGGGCGGCTGAGGCTCAGCCTTACCAGCGACCTCCCACTTGTCCTTGTTCCACTACAGAAAAAGAAGCATTTCATTGAATAACTGAAGACAGAATAGTGAACTAGAGCTACTAGAGTGGCCATGGCATAAGGTGCTGGGGTGTGAGAGTATGTGTGAATGAGAGTGTGTGTCGGGGTAAAACCCCCCAGTGGGCTCTGTAAAAACAGGAAGAGTTGGGGCTCTTTGAAGTTGAGGAGCGCAATCAGTGGTGAGAACGTTCAGGGGAGACACATGTGACAATGTCCCCCCAACACTCCAGCCGTTCACGACTGATTCCCAATTCAACAGCTCTTCATTTCAATAGGACACTAATAGTCTAGACCAGACTGGTCTAATCCTGCGGCCAGAGCATTCAAATGGATAAGACTTTAATGTGTGCAATCACTGCACTGTCTGAGAGTCAGTATGGGATCTATGAACATTTTTCCAGTTGTTAACTGCATTAAAGACTAGATGAGGTTTAGGTTCTAACCTTATATCTGAGACCATCTTCTGGCACCATGTCCACCAGTAAGATGTACTTTGCATATGGCACCAATCCAGACAAGCTGATTTTGCAATGTGGAAACATCCTCCTGTAATATAAGCATACAAAAGTCAAGTTTAGCTCAATGTCTTTTCGAAGAATTGAGGTATTAAGGTCAGTTTAGTTGATCCAAAACTCGAGTCAACAGATAAGGTTCAAGTTTTAGTTGAAGAGTTTGGTTCTGAGACAGACCTGCCAGGTTTGGTGATGATCATCTCAGTGCCGATCTCATGGAAGGATCTCCACAGCTCCGGATCCTCCAGTGTCATTCGGATGTTGCCCTGGTGGTAGGAATCCCCGGCTCCAGCCATGGAAGGCGGAGGAGGGAGACTGAAATTGTGCTTGAGGTCTGAGGAAAGATGTGTGCAATCACTGCACTGTCTGAGAGTCAGTATGGGATCTATGAACATTTTTCCAGTTGTTAACTGCATTAAAGACTAGATGAGGTTTAGGTTCTAACCTTATATCTGAGACCATCTTCTGGCACCATGTCCACCAGTAAGATGTACTTTGCATATGGCACCAATCCAGACAAGCTGATTTTGCAATGTGGAAACATCCTCCTGTAATATAAGCATACAAAAGTCAAGTTTAGCTCAATGTCTTTTCGAAGAATTGAGGTATTAAGGTCAGTTTAGTTGATCCAAAACTCGAGTCAACAGATAAGGTTCAAGTTTTAGTTGAAGAGTTTGGTTCTGAGACAGACCTGCCAGGTTTGGTGATGATCATCTCAGTGCCGATCTCATGGAAGGATCTCCACAGCTCCGGATCCTCCAGAGTCATTCGGATGTTGCCCTGGTGATAGGAATCCCCGGCTCCAGCCATGGAAGGTGGAGGAGGGAGACTGAAATTGTGCTTGAGGTCTGAGGAAAGATGGAATATTTGAGATTTTTTGTCAATGGCGTCCGATGGGAGACTCTTGGAATTTCATTCAGTTGTGCATAAAGAGTTAACAAGCCTGTCTGTAAATGGTGCACACCAAGAGTAAGAGCTCTCCAGGTGCATTAGGGTTAAAACAAGTACTCACCTCTGATAGCCTGCATTATTTAGGCTTCTCAAAAGATGGCCTCCAGAAGAAAATGAGATGGACCAACAGAAAAGATCAGAATGAGGTTTCAGTTAAAAACACAAGTTCTCCATAAGAACTCAAAGGGCTTGAGTTCATTCCAACGTTAAGTCCAAGGATGAAGGGGTTCAGTGTGTTGTGTCTGTTTGTTGCTTCTGCCACAGATGCAGAGGGGGTGTCCCACACCTTTAAGTGAGATCTGGATGTGGGCGGGGCTTGGACCCCCATTCCCAGCCTTTGAAGTGACACAGTGAGGAGTCAATGTCATGATCTCATTGGCTGATGGGCAGAATCAAAGAGAGTTAGCAGAGCCTTGAGAGAGTCCCAACAGGAAGGGGACAAGCAGAGGAAACATGTCTTTATGAACTGCTAAAGGACTTTTAAACAAATACGTACAGACCCAGAGAATACAGGATGGCAAATCAAGCACAAAATTCCCTTCATTAATCCAGCTAATGTGAGGAAGAGCAAAGACTTCACCTTCTAATTGACAGCATTGACCCCTTCACGCAAACATAATCTGACACACTGTATGACATACAGACATAGACATACACACACACACACACACACACACACACACACACACACACACACGTACACACGTACACACATAGACACACATACACACATACACATACACACACACACACACACAGACACACACACATACACACACACACATACACACACACACACATTCTAATTGACAGCATTGACCCCTTCACGCAAACATAATCTGACACACTCAGTGCTCGTGTTTGCTAATTCACACACACATATCCACTAATTCTCACTGATGCTACAGACACCAGGTCTTGATTTTCACAACCAGGTCAGACCATGGCAAATAATTTGAAATGCAACTGGCTTTGTCACTAGAGTATGAGGTTCTTCTGAACTTTTTTCTTTTCATATGTTCTAATCTTGGTCTTCACATTGAATTTTGATGGAAATGCTTTCACAACTTAACGCATCTGCAGTTTAAATATTCATCTTAAATCATGAAGAAACTACAAAAGACCACACAGAACCATCTTAACCTTCATTACCTTTAGGTTTGGTTACGGTGGTCTTTTGTCAACAGTTGTTTAACAGCAGTTTTGAGACAAATATTGACATACAGTCTCAAAATCTAAAGCTTCTTAATGGTTCTTTAAAGCCCTAAGGAACACTCTTCTTATCAAGAATTAGCATTTGCGGTTCAGAGTGGCTATATGGTTCTTTGGAGATAAAAACGTTCTTGATATTGTATTGATCAGGATTTTGGTCCTAGGAATCATCTATTAAAAGACAAGTACAGATGTTTTTGGAGAATTATGAATCTTTAAACGTTCTGCTATGGCATCATGCTGTAAAATCCTTTTTTGGTACTGTTTTGAACCTTTGTTTTCAGGGGATTGCTTTTACACTCTTAAAACTGAAGTTTCCAAAAGGTTTTTGCAGCAGCAATGGCATAGAAGAAAGTTTTTTGGTTCGCCAATGACGCCTTTAGTGAACAGTTCTTAAAATATTATTTTCTTTTTTTTTTAGTGTGAAGAATATTTTAGCATTCTTAAGAAACTTTAGTGGAATGGAAAGGTTCCATGGATGTTAAATGTTCTTTTTGGAACCATATGCCAGCAAGGAACCTTTATAGAGTATGTTTGAAGACATTTTGTATGTTTTAATGTTTCAAAAAGAACCTGATTTGAGTGAACCGATGTCCAAAATAAATTATGGAATATTAAGTACATGATTTTGACTGAATCATCTCACCGATTATCTCAGTGAAAGTGCGTAACATAAAGTCATTATAGAGTTATAGCAGAAAGCAAACCCTGGGGCAAATCTACAGGTGAGGTTTACCTGAGAAGGAGCTTGTGTGTGGTGGGAGGGAGGGAGGGGGTTGTGTATTCAGGGTGTCTAGACATGACCGTTCCTTGATGGTTAATCTCATTAGGAAGAAATGCTCTCTCAAGGCAGCAGGCTTTCTATTCATGCAGAGAGATACAGGCAGAGATACATAAAGAGGGACAGACAGATAGAGAACATAAAAAAGAGAGATGAAGAAATCTTAAAACCCTAAAGAAATGGGGCTTTAGTGGTTCACAGCCTGTTCGCACCACTCACCACAGTTGTCATGTCTTTTTTTAGAGTAAACATGAATAGGGAGAGTTTACTTGTGTGAATGTCAGTCATTGTTATGTATCTGTGACTATAAGCTGAAATGAGTGCTTGACTGACTGTTCACAAATGGAGCAACGTGAAGCTGATCTGCAAGCAGATGTGTCTTTATTTATGTGTGTTTCTTTGGTCAAGTTGAAGAATGGAAGGCTTGATTTATACACACACACACACACACACATTTTTGATAAATATAATAGGAAGTGATGGGAAATAGGAGACGTTGGTGGCTTAAAGATTATACGCAGTGCGGTCAAATAGAGAGTTCATTGAAAATCTGGGATTCTTTCCCATTCAAAAATGAAAATAAAGTTTCTTAAATTGAAGTTATGACAAATAATAAAACTCATGACTTAAAATAAATTAGAAATATTAAAGATTCTGCAGTATCTGTAGGTTAGTTTGTGACTGATCTTGTGAACTCAATAGAGACTTCATTGAAAATCTGGAATTCTTTCCCATTTAAAAATTGAAATAAAGTTTTAAGATTCACATGATCAATGAAATTTGTGACATTGATCATGTGAATTCAAGTATCTCAAGTGCTGCTGTCTTTACAGTGAAAGGGGGACAAACCAAATACTTAATATTAATGTTTTAATATTAATATTTGGAAATTTCCAATGTTTTTTCCAAGTAGGACCTTATATTATTCTTAGTGGATTTCAATCCAAACTGGACTCAAATGGGATACTTTAAGATTGATTCAAAAGAAGCTCCATATGCAGTTGCTTTAGGGTGTTTTTAAAACAGGAATTGAATGAGACAGAAGCAGAACTGAAGACTGTTGACTGGTTCTGATGTTTTAGTCATCAGAAAACACAATCGACAGTTTGTTCTGTTTCTCCACCCTGGCATAGAGCACTGTTAGCACAACTCTTTCTTATGCTAAACGCCAACTCCAACAAAACAGACTATTAATCACCACCATTTCCTACATTTGCAAGAACTCTCAAAGGACTGAAGCATTTGAGAACAAATACTGCCATACATAAAAGACCCCAAAAATGATTGCTAAAACCATTCGCTTGATGACATAATGTTGTATTGTTGATACATACTGTGAATATGTAGGCACTGGAAGAGAAAGACGTCAATGGAAAATATGTAAAAGCAATGATAACTTACAATACCTATTTTTTTATTGCAGTTATTAACCTGAAAAATTGAAAAGTTATATTTCTTTTGTTCAACTACAATTGATGAATATGTTTGAACTACCTATCCAAAAACTGCAATGGTATTCTTCCAATATACCGTGGCAATAGCATGATATTCTTTGCAGTATCTTGGAGTAACAAGAAAATTTCATGGTATGTGAATTTGGTACCACGGTACTTTATTATGAGGGCTAAGTTATTCTACATTATATGGAATTAAGCAAGACACATGATAATAATATTTCTTCCCGTTCATGGAAACATTTATAAATGATCTATTAATGTATAATAAACGTGTTATAACACATTTTAGGCAGCACTCTTAACATAAATGCAGTCTTGAGTGCATTTCTCCCTATTGATCAATGGCAAATGAACCTAAAGCTTGTTTTGACTGTTATTTTTAGTGAATGCAATAAAGAAGATTAAAACACTAGTTCTTGAAGCAGCAGTTAAATCAGAGTTGCCTGTTTTACGAGCTAAAAGCTCTCAAAAGCTGTGAATGTATTGATTGAGAGCATACAGCAGTCTGGGAGGATCGGTGTTAGTCTTATACTCAAATTCATCTATACAAAGTAAAGAAGAACATCTAAAATCCCTCACACCTCACAGTCACTCTGGAGATTAACAGAGAGGCCTAAACCTGGCAATAATGGCAGAAGACATTAGCCAAACACACGTTTAGCTATCTTTCCATCATGAAGGTGTGATGGCCAGGTTTCATTTCCTTCACCTGAAATTGGTCAGTATGATTCACACATGGCGCGTGGCTCTCCTCACTCCTCTGAGATTACACACACATTGCTGCAGGACTAGCATATAGTTTTCCTAAACCTAATAGCACACTTATATTAGCACCAGCGCTAATTACTATCATATATTTACAGAGCGATTTTCAGAACATTTCAGACATTTTACACTAGATTAGATGGTTTGTGGTTGGAGAAAATTACTTGAGTAACTTCAATACTTATTATAGTATTCAGTAATTAAATTCAATTACATATTCTTTTTGTGAATTTGATTTACTCAAGTACTATTGAAATTGAATCATGCACTTTCACTCAGAAAATTGTGTTTAAGGAGTTGATTTTATTGCCCAATGTATTTACATGAAATAAACTTCAAGAGTTTTATTTGAAACGGCGCAAAAGTTTAGCTCAGGGAAGCCAAGCTCATAAGTTTGATTTGCAGAGAACACACATTAATGAAATGTACAGCTTGAATACATGTCACTTTGGATAAAATTGTCGGCCAAATGTATAAATATAAAATCACTTCAGCACAATTGTTTCTGCCCGTTTGCCCTCATAGTCTAATAATCAACGACTTCTGATGGTATGGGAAAAACATCTCATGCTGACAAAGTGCAACATTCTGAAGAGGAAGGTGTATACATATTTTTAATGTGGAAAATTAATGCATACACATCAGCAGCAGTAGAGTCATAGGCATTATACAAGTTCAGGGGGGGAAATGTGTAAAAAAAGCAAAACACAAAAACTATCCACTGAAGTCCAAAAATTAGAGTCGGCCAAATGCAGAAATGTGGTAGAGAGAAAAAATACAGAGTTCTGGCATGAAACTCTAGATGGCGCAGTTCGATAGGTCTAACTCAATCTGACCTAATGACATCATTGTCACATGGCACAGCTGATTGGTTCTCTCCTGTATCGGTAGCCAATGAGCTCGCTGCTCAGCATTCAAATATGACTAGTGCTTGCCGTAGTAGTGCAGCTTGCTTCAGAAACCCTCCACCTTCCCCAGCTCCACCTGTATAGATCTGCTACGAGGTGATTCATGTACGCTATATGGGGGTTATTTCATGTATGTTATATTTGCAGCAGCAATATTTCTTACATGCTCACAGCAGCATGTTGTGGATGTATTGGCAGTAGCAAGTCTCGGTACTTGCTCTGCAGCAGCAGCAGCAGCGTAGCAGATCTATTCCTCCAAGACCAAATACATTAACATTGTCATGTACATTACCATGCCAATCCCTCCGAGAGTTGTCATGACAGAAATATATATATATATATAAGGAAAAAACAACACAATTCCACAGCAATTTCACGTTTTGTTGAAATGGGGCTAATTTCCATTTTGTACAATTACATCTGTACATTTTTATAGGATCTGCCTGCGGTCCACTGATGGTTAGGTTTAGAGTCTGACCTTTCGTGCTTTTTGTGCAAATTATACAAATAAAAACGCCTAAAATAGCTGTTTTCTCATGCTGGAAAAAATGCTGTCATTTGAAACAAGTCAGTTGTTGAAATGGACACCAGCATCCATTTTAAAGCCAGGCATGTGAGACATGGACTGGCTGGCTTATTAACACCTGTGAGGTGCTTATACGCTTGGAAATCAGACACATTAGATGGGTTTAATTATGGTAAGAACTGCTGACTGTTTGTATCATTCCCTAAAGATATTTCTCAAAGGTTACGCTAGGAGTTATATCGGTTTCATTTTTCTTTTTTTTCCCCTTCTATGACAATAAATACAGCCCTGTGAGACTAAATATTCTTCTTTAGTTTCAAGAAACCAATGCCATGGTACAGTGACTTGGCAAACTTGAGTTGCAAAAGGTCAAACTTTACCTCACTGACTTTTTCTTAACCTTCTGAATCTGCGAAGCACATCATAAAAATGATCCATATCCCCTTTGATCAGGTTAAAACATCATTAATGTGTAACTGAAAACACAAGGCTGCTCTTCAGAGGAAACGTATGGTTACATGAAGTGTCGTATCTAAACGTTACAGGAGGTTTCCTACTGTAGACCCCACAGGGATCAAGAGAGTCCCGCTGGGATGTGCCGCACTCACGCTGGGCTTCATGTGTTTGCTCTGGGACTCCAGCAGCTGATCTCAAACCAGTTTGGCTGCTGGTTTTTAGGACAGGGTGACAGTTTGGGTGAGAGAGAGAAAAGGATGGAAAGGTCAGAAAGGACGAACTGAAGGAAGTGGCAATGTCATGGCCAAGACCACCTCACATGCTTGCTTTCTGCTGCATTTTGGCTTATTCTTATTATGCTAAGTTAATCACATAATATACCAGGGGTGTTTCTTTATCTGAGAGTCAAAGTGTTTCAATTTGCAGTACATTAAAATACAGGAAATGCTGGGAAGAATCAAACATTGTCACTCGGTCAGATATTTAGCATGTCTTAAAATCTTGTCTTCCTCCAGCTCATCTCTGCATCCATCCCGTATCACCAGACGCTAAAGTCAGGAGGTGTTAGGCACCTCTGCCATTTGCTGCGCCTTGTGTGGATGTATCGTCACTCAATAGCTTAACAGCTGCCAATACACAGGCGCTCTGGGCTGGGATCAGACGGCTGTGGGGTCTATAAAGAGCCCCCCCGCTATGGGCCGACGAGAAATCTCACACCTTTTCCTGCATTAGCCATGCAATCTTCCCTTTTGATGCTCTAACTGGCCACTTTAAGTGCTCAGGCACGGCCGTCAGGGGGATGATGAGGACGTTAAACTGAATGATTTTTGGATGATATGTGTCTGCATGCATGCTCAAATGGGGAAAAACTGTACAGTAAGGCTAGTAAGGCTAGAGTAAATGAATGCATCAATCATACTAAGCTAGCACTGGATACCATGCATGCATTGTACAGGATTCCCCCACTGTTTGTTCCATGAATTTCCATCATTTTTATCCAGTTGTTCATGATCACTGGATAAAGGACCATTTCTAGCCAATCCATTTTTTTTTATTTTTTTTTTAGAATTAAACAATTAGGAAAAGGTATATTCAGAACTTGTAAGGATTTAACTACTTCCGATTTTTATTAATTAATTTTATTTTAATTTTTTTTAATGACCATTTTAAAATTCCTTCTTAGTTCTAGGTGTTTCCATGATGGTGGGAACACAATTTTTAAATAAAAAAATAAAAA